CTGTGTGAGAGCCCCTTGAGCCCCACGCCCTGTTGGGGCAGGTTCATGCGTGGCTTCCCTGGCCATGCGCCCTGCCCAGACCAGTTCTAGATTCTGCCACCACCCTTCCCCAAGGCCACCTCCACTCCCCACCATTTTGGGCAAGGCCTCCTGAGACTCAGCTGGGAAGGCTGGCAGGCAGGAGGCTGGGGTGGCTCTGGGGGCCATGGACCCCACAGCAGGGCCTGTGTACTACCAGAAGCTGCTGCTCTGGGAGCTGGGCTTGGAGTCTGAGGAGGAAGAGGAGGGGACGTCAAAGCCGCTGGTTCCCCACACCGGGAGGCCCCAGGACTCCACTGAGTAAGTTGTCGGGGGGGGGGTGGCACCTGCTCCTCAGATCTGAGGCTGGCAAGTCCCTCTTTCTGGAGATCCTGGGTGCTAGGGGAGGGGGGAAGGGAGTTGGCAGTCCCATGCTTAACTCCAGGGACTTTCTGGTTGAATGAGAAAAACCTGGGCTACAGACTCACAAAGGTGTGTGAGAATCAAGGGACATTTGTACCAAGCCAGCTCCCGCCTGCTGCCCAGTCACAGGGTCCCACCTCCCACCCCCTGGAGCAGGAGGCACTTGCTCTAACAGGTTGGAGCCAGGCTCCACCTGGCTGGGGCCTGCTGTCCTGTGCACTCTCAGCCTCTCAGCCCTACATACCAAGCCCGCCTCAGGCCTCTACCCAGCTGGCTCCATCCTGCCTCTCCAACCTCCTCTCCAGTTATTCCCTCCCTCTCGAGCAGTCCTCAGTTTCCCTGAGCGCTTTCCTATCTCCACGTCTTTGTCCAGGCTGTGCCCTCTTCCTGGCAAACCTTTTCTCTCCAGCCAATGTGTTCTCCCCTCGCAAGACCAAACCCCACTGGAAATCCTTTCTTGGCTTCTCTTGGGGCTCTTAGGTGTCCCCCCAGCCCTGGTTCAGGACACCCCTCTCTGCAGGAACAAGGCTGGTGGCCTTCCGGGATGCTGGGCTCGGCTAGTCGCAGCCTTGCTGCTGCTGGCCATTAGCATCTCCCTGGCTGTGAGGCAACTCCAGACTAGCAGCAGCTCTACCGGAAGTTTGGGCTCCGTGGCCCCTCCAGCCACTGGGCACTCCCATCTCCCGGGCGTATACCACCATGGTGCCATCATCAGCCCTGCTGGTCAGTGCTGGGGGCAGCTCAGTGGCGGGGAGGGGTCGGGGTCACTGGTCCCAGGCCCCTTCCCATAATGGTCCTTCTTTGCTGCAGCCGCGTGCTCCACCCTGGGCCGAGAGCTGCTTGTGGCTGGAGGCAACGTCGTGGATGCCGGAGTGGGAGCAGCTTTGTGCCTGTCAGTGGTGCATCCTCATGCCACAGGGCTAGGTCAGTGACCCACGACCCCGGACAGCGACCCCAACCCTGGACTGGTTAGTGACCTGGAGCTCAGACACAGTCAGTGGCCCTGATCTCAGGCTGCTTTGTGAGCAGGATCTACGATTCAGGCAGTGATTTTGACCCCAAGTCTGGTCATTGACCCGTTTCCAGGACTACTCGGTCACCCCTGATCCCAGGCTTGGTCAGTAAGATCAACCTCAAACAAGTTAGTGACCTAGGGCTTCACCTAGGGCTGCTGAGTGCCCCTGACCCCAGTCAGTGCCCCTGACCCCATCCTGGCCAGTGCCCCTGACTTCCGTGTGGCCCCTCTGTCTCCCTTCAGGTGCCACGTTCTGGGGCCTCTTCCACAATAGCTCCTCAGGCAGTTCAACTGCCCTGACCTCAGGCCCAGCCCGGACCCTGGCCCCTGGGCTGGGGTTGCCCACGACTCTGCCTGCTCTGCGCTTACTGCACATGCACTTCGGCCGCCTGCCCTGGCCACGCCTGTTGGGGGGCCCCACCATCTTGGCTCAGGAGGGCTTCCTGGTGGACGCATCTCTGGCAAGGGCGCTGGCAGCCCAGGGCACAAAGGGCCTCTGCCCACTGCTTTGTCATGCTGACGGGACCCCCCTGGGTCCCGGGACCCGAGCCACCAACCCAAGACTGGCAGCTGTGCTACGTAGGGTAGCACTCGCCCCCACCCCACACCTCACTGGGGATGCCCTCCTGAGTCTGATGGCCAGCGACCTGGGGCTGGAGGCCCCCTCAGCTGAGCCCCTGCCCACCTTGGAGCCAGTGCTGCAGCTGTCTGTGCCCCAGGGCACCCTGCTCACCACCCCTAGCCCATCAGCTGGCCCAGAACTGCTGGCCCTGCTAGAGGCAGCCCTACACTCTGGGGGGCCCAGCCCTGACCCCTGCCCACCACTCCTACAAGCTACCGGGACCCCGGTGAGCAGCATCCTGGCCGCCATCGACAGCAGCGGCTCTGTGCTCCTTCTCACCTCCTCACTCAACAGCTCCTTCGGCTCTGGACACCTGTCCCCCAGCACGGGGGTTCTGCTCAGCAACCTGGTCACCAGCTCTGCAACAAGTGCCTGGGCCTGCCCCCTCATCTTCCGAGGAGGCCCTGATGACATGGAGGCCGACGTGGTGGGGCTGGTAGCTTCAGGGGCTCCCTCGGTCACCAGAGCCATGACTAGTGCCCTGCTCAGACACCTGGCAGTGCCCCAAACCCAGGCCCAGCACCAGCACCAGCAAAGACCAACAGAGAGTCCCAGCACTTGTGTTCAGGGAACCCTGCTCCAGGTGACAGCCCATGCAGAGCATGCCCACGTCTCCAGTGTACCCCATGGCTGCTGCCCCTTCCAGGGCTTCTAATCAGGTAGGGTCTGGCAGGGGCTGGGCTATCTCGAGCCTGGGGCAATGAAGTACATAAAGAACACGCATCTATTACATACTCACTGCTGGCTCTGGCCCCCAGCCTCTGACCTGGTTAGTTACCTGGACTCAAGTCCTGGGCATCCAGGGCTAGCTCAGTCAATCTTCAAAGCATCCCTGCTGGATGGAGTTTCTGGCTCCTTTTTCAGCAAAGGAACTTGAGGTTTATAAGGAGAATCCAACTGGGCCTGGGGCCAGCCCTGAGTTCAGACCCAGTCCTGGGAAGGACTGGTGGGAGAACACCACGCCCCTGCCCAGGATCTGGGCCCCACGTGGCATCCTGGGTTGCTGCTGGTATCTCTGTCCTCCCCTCAGGACCCTCTGGACCGGGCCACTCTACCAGAGTTTCCATGGGGCTCTCACCTGGACACTGAAGCCACCGTCAGCTGGCCTCCCACAGCTGAGCAGGAAACAAAATAAAGATCAAGTCTCTTCCTGGCTCTTGGCTAATTTCTCATGAGCCTTTGAGGCAGCTGGTGTCAGGTCCTCTCCCTCCCACAGGCAGCATAGGAGACCCACATGCAGAGAGGGGCAGAGCCTCTCCCTGCTCCATGCTCCATTCACCTTCTGCTTCCTGAGGCACTGTATGTGCATAGCAAACCATTTGCCATCTAACTGATTCTGACTCGTGGCAACCCCACATGTGTCAGAACACAATTGTGCTCTGTAGGGTTTTCAAGGGCTGATTTTTTGGAAGTAGGTCACCAGGTCTTTTTTCCAAGGCACCTCTGGGTACTCAAAACACCAACCTTTCAGTTAGCAGATGAGTGCATTAAGTGTCTGCACCACGCAGGGACTCCATGTACATGGTAAACCTCTTAATTTCACTTTTGCAAACAGACAGCAGAGCAAAGAAGGTATTGAGAGGATGAGTAGGCGGTGCCCCCAGGGGCCTGGGTACAAAAGAGGCTAGAGCTGGGTGTATGGACTTAACTACACCCAGGTTGACCCTGATCCTCCTACACTCGAGGGCTGGAGTATCTCTGGCCCACAACCCTCTGGAGCCAGCTCCTCAGGCCCTCTCCCCTAAGAAACAGGGTGGCCAGTTGAACCACCCCCCATTTATAAAAAAATTTTTTTAAAAAAACCCATTGCCATTGAGTCAATTGTGACTCATAGCGACCCTATAAAACAGAGTAGAACTGCGCTATAGGGTTTCCAAGGAGCAGCTGGTAGATTTGGACTGCTGACTTTTTGGTTAGCAGCCAAGCTCTTAACCACTGTGCCACCAGGGCTCCCCATTTATAAAAGGCATCTCTGATTTAATAGAACTCTTGATCCCACCTCCACCTATCCCAGCCCCCCAAAATTCTTCCCCAGCCCAGTATATTGTACCACAATCTACCCAGTTATTTTGATTCCAAGGCTGCAATTCCTCTGTTTTCCTCTCCCCACATGCCCAATTCATCACTCACCCCTAAAAACAAACAAATAAAAAAAAAAATTAGCTCCCCATATGTGTCAGGGTAGAACAGTGCTCCACAGGGTTTTTTTCCCCCACTTTAATTATTTTCTTTTTTGTTGATGTTGTGAGAATACACACAGCAGAACATACACCGATTCAACAATTTCTACAGGCACAATTCAGTGATACTGACCACATTCTTCAAGTTACCCAACCATTCTCACCCTCCTCTTCCTAATTGTTCCTCCTCCGTTAACATAAACTCACTGCCCCCTAAATTTCCTATCTAATTTTTTGAGTTGCCGTCATCACTCTGATCCCTTATAGACAGTTCTTTAAAAGTCCATCGAGTTTCAATAGCTGATCTTTCAGAAGCAGATCGTCAGGACTTTCATCCAAGGAGTCTCTGGGTGGACTTGAACCAGCAATTTTTGATTATTAAACCCATTGCTGTCAAGTCGATTCCAACTTATAGCGACCCTGTAGGACAGAGTAGAACTGCACCATAGGGTTTCCAAGGCTGTAATCTTTACAGAAGCAGACTGCCACATCTTTCTCCCGCATAGAAGCTGATGAGTTCCAACCATCCACCTTCCCGTTAGGAGCCAAGCCTTAACCACTGCACCACCAGGGTTCCTTACCCATGCCTACACCTCCCAATTAGCCCAAATCTGACCTTTTCTCATATTATTCTGGCCCAATCTACCATCGTTTCTAACTGGTCTTCCTGCTTTTATCTTTGCCCTCCTACAATCCATCCCTAATTCAGCTGCTGGGATAATCTTTTTAAAATGTATATCTGATTAAGGCTTGCCCCTGCATAAAATCCTCCAATGACTTCCCATCATGCTCAGAATAAAATTCAAACTCCTGATCCCCACCTGAGGTCTTACCAGATCTTGCTTCTCTGACCCACCTTGCCAATCTTGCCCTTCCAGCCCTGGGGTCTTTGTAGCTGTGCTATCCTCCTCCTGAGGGTATTTTCTGTCCTAGCTCTTCCCACTGGGGGGGGGGGTCACATGTCATCTCTTCATGGAGGCCTCCCCGGCCACCCTCTCCAATCAGTAGCTTACTGAACTCTATTTTTAATTGTTATGTTTTTAATAGGTGAAGTATTTGTATTTCGAATTTCGTTTGTATTATTCCTCAATAAAGAGAAATGAGTTATCAAGCCATGAAAAGACACGGAGGAAACATAAATGCATATTGCTAAGTGAAAAATGCCAGTCTGAAAAAGCTACATACTGTGTGACTCCAACTATATGACCTTCTGGAAAAGACAAAACTCCAGAGACTGAAAAGATCAGTGGTTGTGGGGGGAGGGGGATGGATAGATGGAGCACAGGGCAATTTTAATGCAGCGAAACTATTCTGTATGATATTGTAATGGTGGACACACACAGTATGCATTTGTCAAAACCCATCAGACCGTACAACATAAAAAGTGAAAGCTATGGAAACCATAGTTTAGCTAGTAACAATGTATCAATATCGGTTCATCAATTGTAACAAATGTACACAAGAATGAAAAATACTAACAATATAGGAAACAATGTTCAGGATGAAAGGGGAAATAGACACTCTGTATCTTTCTGTGCGGAGCTCTTGCTCTGTAAACCTAAAACTGATCTGAAAAAGTCTGATTAAAACCTGGGAGAAATAAAGTCTCTCTCTTACCCGTTTCATTTTCTTTTTTATAATTATCCTTTAAAATGTATTTGTTTACTTGCTCATCAGCTGTCTCCTCCCAGTAGAAAGGAAATCGATGAGAGCAGAGACTTGGTGACCACAGTTTAGGACTGCGTCCAGCACACAGTAGGAGATCTGCGATTGTATGGTGAAAGGATTAATGCGCGGGGCGCAGGGGCCACTCTCGGACAAGGTGGATCGATTTGCTTGTCTTGCATGAGTTTTCTGAGATGCGCCCTCAGAGAAGCCCCCCAGTGGGGCACTAGGGGACAGATGCCTCAGCTGCCTGGGAAGAAGGAGGATGAGGGAGAGGCTGAGGAGAAACTGCACTGCTCTGGTGAGAGAGCTGAGGGGTCTGCCCTTCGCTGGCCCCAAGCCCCGCCCACAGCCTCTCCCGGGTCCCCTCCCGTCTCCTCCCCAGCCAAGCCTACCCAGTGCGCATGCGCCGAGCCCTGACCTGGAAGAGGCGGTCCTCAGAGCCCACGTGTTCGTGGAACATGGCGGAGTTGGAGAGTCAGGACCTCGCTGAGCCCGTGTCTCCCGGAGAGACCACCAAGAGCGGTGCCCGGCCTGCCGACCGCCATGGCTTGTTGCAGCACAGCCGCGAGTTCTTGGACTTCTTCTGGGACATTGCGAAGCCGGAGCAGGAGACGCGGCTCGAGGCCACGGAGAAGCTGCTGGAGTATCTGCGCACACGGCCAAAGGTACGCTGGCGGGACCTGGGGCAGGGGGCCAAGCAGATCGGCAAAGACGTGGCGGCGGGATCCGGGGCTTGGGACTGCGGGCACTTGGTCCCGAGCCGGGATGCCCAGGCGAGCGGTGCCGGGGTCGGCAAGGGCTGACTGACTTGTGCCACTAGTCCCACCAGACTTGCACTTGGTTCCATAGGGATCCGAGATGAAATACGCTCTGAAGCGCCTCATCACTGGGCTCGGGGTCGGCCGAGAGACCGCCCGGCCCTGCTACAGTCTGGCCCTGGCACAGGTGAGTCGGTGACTCCTGTGGGTGGCGGGAAGGGGCCCTGAGCCTTGCGGGTCAGAATGGTGGGTGGGAGGGGAGTGGGTGCTCAGCTGTCAGGAGAGGGGTGTCTGAGGGAGAGGTCAGGAGGGTGACATCTAAAGCGCTGTCTGAGGGAAGATTCACCACGTGGAGGTAGAGAAAGTGCCGTTAGCAAAGACTCTGCCAAGAAGCCCAGGGAAGTGGAGGGGAAACTGAGCATGTTTTCTTTTTTGGCGCACGGATGGGGCGGCCCCTTAGGTACGTCTAGTGGGAGGAAGGAGTTTTGGGGTGGTCCCCCTTCTGCAAGGTTCAGGGCCCTGTCCCTCCAGGGAGCACCCAGCTGACTCTAAGCCGCTCTCTGAGGAACTTGGAAGGGCAGCAAAAACCCAGCCTGTGGGGGCTCAGAGCAGGCTTTGGGCATAGGGTATCTGGGAATCTCAGTTATGCAATCTCGGGGTCAAGGGAGGGACTTTCTGAAGCCTAGGCGGGGATGCAGATGGGGCAGGGAGGCAAGGTTCCCCTCCCTTTGATCAGCAGTATTCTGTCAGAGCAAGATGAGCAGCCTCAGAGGCATCCATGGGGTGGGATCGGGGACCCAGAGCCTCTCAGCTGAAGTCTAAGGGACAAGGGGAAAGAGGTTGAGGTCTGCTGGGATGTGGCAGGGCTCCTCCCCGAACCCTCGATCTCCTGTCACACCTCTTGACAGCTGTTACAGTCTTTCGAAGACATCCCCTTATGCAGCATCCTGGAGCAGATAAAAGAAAAATATGATCTACAGAGGGTGAAGAAGGTGAGAGTGGGTGGCCCCAGGGTGGTCAGCAGCCTGGGCGGTGGGGTGCTGTAATTACCTAAGGTCTTTTTACCTGTGCCTGGAATCCTTTTCTAGGCGATGGTGAGACCCGCTCTCTTTGCACACCTGTTTGGGGTGCTAGCGCTCTTTCAGTCAGGCCGGCTAGTGAAGGTAAGAGCTTTGGGGGCCCGGAGGATTCTCTCACCTGGGACATGTGGCCTGGCTTGGGAGTGGTGGGGGATAGCAGCATGCCCTGCTCATACCCTCTGCTCCTCTGTGTGGGTGCCAGGACCAGGAGGCACTGATGAAGTCGGTGAAGCTGCTGCAGGTCCTGGCCCAGCACCACAACCACTTACAGGAGCAGCCCCAGAAGGCCCTGGTGGACATCCTCTCTGAGGTATGGGCTCATTAGCTATGCGAACTTGGGTGGCACGCTCTACTATAGAAGCATTAAGAAGACTCAAGTTAGCGTATGAGAACGCTCTAAGCAACACTGTCTGATAGTAATACGCAGGTAAACCACAGGCGTCATTTTAAATTTCCTAGTAACTGCATTAAAAAGCAAAAAACAGGTAGAATTAACGTTAAGGGTGTGTTTTATTTAGTTTAATATATCGTAAAGTATTATTATTCCAACGTGCAATCAGCGTGGAAAAAAATGGGATTTTTTCAGTCCTTTTGTCGTAAATCCAGTGTATTTTACACTTACAGCATACCTCTGTTCTGATTAGCCACATTTCAAGTGTTCAGTAGCCATTTGTGGTTGGTGGCCACCGTACTGGACGGTGCCTGGCACGTGGCAAGTATATACGTGTTTGGCATCATCATTATCATTTTGGGCAGAGTTGGCCCCTCAGGGACCTACACTGCCCTGACTTGGGAAACTGAGGCAAGCCAGCAATGAGAACCCCTTGCCACCTCTCTGGACTGAGTAAAGAGGCAACAGGCTGACATGGTTTCTGCACAGCCTAGCCTCAGAGATAGAAGAATCTGGATTCTAATTCCTGCTCTCCTATTGGCTCTCAGTTTCAGGAATCTTGTATAAGAAACAGGCTGATCCTCTAAAGGATGTCCTGGGTAGCACAAAGGATTAAGTGCCCAATTATAACCAAAAGGTTGGCAGTTCAAATCCACCCAGAGGCACCTTGGAAGAAAAGCCTGGCAGTCTACTTCTGAAAGATCACTGTCGTTAAAAACTCCATGGAGCATAGATCCACTCTGACAGAACTGACTTGATGGCAACTGGTTTGATTTGTTTGGTCCTCTGAAAATCAAAGAGGAAGTATTGAAAGGGTTGCTCCCAGGCCAGTTAGTATCGAGGGATGCTTGTTAAAACCACAGCTTCCTGGGACTTGAGAATTTGAATTTCTTATCAAATACGTAGCAGAGTGGATTGTGGCCATCCCATTTCAGACTGGCACTCTGCTGGGGACCTTCATGGAAGCCTGGTGGGTAGAACGAGGTCCATAGGGCTCACCCCATGAAGGGAGAGACTAAGAAGCCTGTGAGTGAGTCACCCTCATACAACCTGTCTCCCCGCCCCCAGGTCCCAGAGACCACGTTAAAGGAAATCCTGCCGAAGGTGCTCAAGGCCGACTTGGGGGTGGTGCTCAGCTCCCCTGAGAACCTGGAGCTCTTCCTCTTAGCCCAGCAGAAGGTACCTGCAAAGCTTGAGAAGCTGCTGGGACCGGTAGATCTATTCTCAGATGAGAATATTCCCAGGTGAGCACAGGGGCGTAGCGCAGATAAGTTGTGTTTCCTTCTATCTCACCGCCAATTTCAAGCTGAATAGATGTTGAAAGCAGCGACGAAATGCCTCCTTGTCCAGCAGCCTTAGTTAGGCACTTTTCATATTTGTGGTGCCTCGCAATGTCATTCCGTACCTCATCTGGTGCCCCTGGACTTGTGCCCAGGGCAGGTTGTCCCCTCTGGCCCCAGCCCCTCACTACGCCTCTGGTTGGCTCTTGCGTAGCCGCCCCGGCCCTTGTCTGTCAGGCGGGCATCCCTAAGTCTCCTCTGCCGTCCTCCCCAGGCTGGTGACCGTGCTGAAGATGGCCGCCGCCTCTGTGAAGAAGGAGCGCAAGCTGCCTGCCGTGGCTCTGGACCTGCTGCGCCTGGCACTTCAGGAGAACAAGTTCCCACGGTTCTGGAATGATGTTCTGGAACAAGGGCTGCTAAAGAAGCAGTTCCTGCCAGCCAGGTACATGCAGCACTGGGCCTCTCCAGACTCCTTCTCCCTGTTTGCTGAGAGGGTGTGGGCTGGGGGCCCTGAGGTCCCCCAGGGAGCTGAGGGCTCTGACCAGGCTCTGTCCCACCCTCTCAGCTTCCTGTGTTTCCGCCTGCTGGGTGCAGCCCTGCCCCTGCTGTCCAAGAAGCAGCTGCAGCTGGTGATGCAGGGAGACATCATCCGCCATTATGGGGAGCATTTGGTTACTGCTAAGGTGGGCACCCCCTCGTGCGGCTCAACGTTGCCAGCAAGGGCTGGGCAACAGACCGCATCCTTCCAAGAAAGGGTCGGGGGGGAGGGCCTCCTCAGGGCTTAGCCAGCTTCCAGAAGGGGCTTGCTCTTGGCTCTGGCATCATGGGTCTTCCTGCCTCGGTGGTCCTAGCCTTGGCATAAGCAAGCATAGCTGCTGTTGGGAGGGCCTGGGACCCAAGTGTCCCTTCCCTCTAGGTGAAGCAGGTGGCCCAAACCCCTTCTCCTCCCTCTGAATGGAGTTTTGGCAAGGTCAGGCTCTTTTCCCGTAGGGCCCTCCAGTGGAGTAACATACAGCCAGTGATGTCTTCAGATCATCCTCCACCCAGCTGCTGATATAATAACGATCGTAGTCGTCATCGCTAATGAGCACTTTCCACGTGCCCTAAGCTGGATGCTCAACCTAAGAATCAAGCAGTGGTTAAGTGTGGAATCTGGGGACCCAGACTGCGAGTTCCGATCCTGACTCCACCTCTTACTAGCTGTGTGACCTTGCGCAAGTTGTTTAACTTTTCTGTGCCTGTTTTCTTGTCTCTAAAATGAGATGAATAGTACTTTCCTCACAGGGTTTTGGGAAGATTAAGTGGGCTCTTAAAACAGTGTCTGGTGTGTAGTAAGAGCTGTCGTGTTTGCTGTTCTCCGTATCTCATTTCATCTTTACGGTGCATTTCAGATTGCTGCCGTTCCCCTTTCGTGGAGGAGAGAACAGGCTCAGAAAGTATCAGGCAGTGGTTAAGAACATGATGGGAAGCCAGACTGGCTGGGTCCAAATCCCATTTCCACCACCCGTGAGCGCCGTGACCCTGAGAAAGTTACCTCCCAGCTCTTTTTGTACCTCGTGTTCTTCATCCATGAAATGGCAGTAGTAGTGGCCAAGTGCAAAGCGTTGTCGTGAAGAGTCAAAAACCTATTACAGGAAAGCGCGTAGCATGGTGCCAGGCATGTAGTAAACACAGGAGAAGTGTTAGTTTTTGAGGATGACGCAGCTAGGGACTGGCAGAGGTGGAATTGAAACCCAGGTCTGTTTGATGGCTGAGACTGGACTCTTACCCGCTGCTGTGCTCTGCCTCAGGCCAGGAAAAGAGCCTGGGCTGCTCCAGTGAGAGCTGGGAAGGCGAGGCCTTCTGGAGGCAGAGGTGTGGAGGCTGGACGACTACAGGGAGGCTGGATGCCAGGCAGAAGTTTTGGGGCACAGGGAGCTACTGCAAGTTTACAGACACTGGAGTGGAGAGACTCTAGGCTCAACCAGGCTGGGTGCAAGGAACAGGGACTTCCTGGGCCCCTGTTCAGCCTGCTGTGGAAGAGGCTGGTGGGGCTGCCCGCTCTGGGCAGGTGACCCCAAAGCTGGACCCTCTGCCAACACCACGCCTGCTCCTTGCAGCTCCCGGACCGGTTCAGGTTTGCCCCAGAGATGGATGAATATGTGAGTGCCTTCCTGGAGGGCTGCCAGACCGACCCTGAGCAGCAGCTGGCCGTGCTGGTGGCCTTCTCCTCCATCACCAACCAGGGTCACCCCGTCGTGCCCACCTTCTGGCGGGTTGTGCGGTTCCTGAGTCCCCGCGCCCTCAAGGACTACGTGGCCTGGCTGCGGGACATGTTTCTCCAGCCCAACCTGGACTCTTTGGTTGACTTCAGCACCAGCAACCAGAAGAAGAACCAGGACGCTTCACTCCACGTGTGAGTGGGCCTGAGGGGGTGGCTTCCTGGGGCTGCAGAGCCCAGAATGCCTGGACTCTCCCACCCAGAATGTCGGGGCTCCAAACCATACAAGAGGAATGGAGGCTCCTTAGCTCTAAACAAAAGCTTTGTTCGCCCCATGTGTGGTCCCAGCTGGTGGTAGGGGGCGGGAGATCTTGGTTGTCCTGTCTCCAAGATGGGGCAACGGGTGCCTTGTGTTCACTCCCTCTAAATGGCTTCCGTGACCCCGGCTCCTACCCCCAGGCCTGAGCGGGCTGTGTTCCGGCTGCGGAAGTGGATCGGCCTTCGCCTGGTCAGCATTGTGGAGAACTCCCAGGTGGAGAAGGAGGAGACCTTGGTTGAGGAGGTGGCCAGGTGCGAGATGTGCTGAGCCCCACTCCCCCTAGGCAGGGTGCCCAAGGAAGTGGGCTTGCTGCCTCGTCCTAGTTTGGATCCCCCTGGAACCAGAAGCCTCAGACTGCATAGAGAGCAGCAAGCCGTTCTTGTCCCTAAGGCACAGGGATTTAGAGAAACGCCTCAGGCCTGTAAGGGGAGGGGCCCAGGAAGTGTGGGGTCCAGGGGCCTAAAAGGCTCAAGCTCACTTCATGTCCCACAGGCAGCATTGCACATCGATGGAATTGGGGAGCCTTTTCCCAACACCTGCTTCATCTGTGCCAGGCACAGGGCCAGGTGCCCATTTAATCCTCACCTGTCCCAAGAGGGTGCCTCCTTAGCCCCCTTCTGCAGAGGCAAAGACGTGACTTTGCTGGGGCCATGTAGCCTGGACCTGTCTTGGTCCTAAATGAGGGCTCTGCTCTTCTCTCCTCAACTCGGGCTGAGCCGTGTTCACACCTAAATGATGCCCCCTTTCTCTCACCGCCTGGCTGCCTCGGGCCCTGCCCATCAGGCCCCTGGGGGCCATGTCCAGAGCAGAACAGCCCACTCCCCCGGCACCGTGCTGGTGATGCCATCCAAGGAGAAAGCCCTGGGAAAATGATGGCGCTGTCCGAAGCTCATGCTGATGCTGTCCCATCTCTTCAGGTTCTGTTTGTTCCATTCGTTCTTTGAAACCAAGAAACCCACAGCCCAAATCCCTGAGACTGAGCAGCGGCTCTCCTTCCCCTTGGAGAGCCGGACCCGAGAGGTGGTCTGCAGTGCCTTCTTCAGGTGGGCATGGGCAGGTGGGGAGGGTCTGAGGGTGGGTGGCAGGGCAGAGGTGGTCTTGAGGAC